ATCTTCAGAGTACCGCACATTCGAAGCACATAAATTCTGACTGGGTTAGGAGGTACACATGTTTCTTCCGTTAGAATCCATGGAGCGGCAATGTTTTCACCTTTTTCAGTGAAAGTGTGTCTGTGGTTCTGACTGCATCTGGAAATTGGCTCTGTAAAACCCCATCAGAATTACTCTTAACAAAGGCAGTACAATGTTCTACTTACAAAATAATCAGATATTTTGGGTTTCAACTTCCCAAAGGCTCCGATGTGGTCCCTGTCGAGATAGATAATTAGGAGAACGGAAATAATCTTGAAAAGTCTTACAATGTTAACAAGTTTCGTTCGTTGATCAAGTAGGCATGCAGATTGCACCTCAGCAAAAATCCGGCTATCTTCCCGAGAGAAGCTCTGAGCTTCAAGTCCAATTGTAGCTTCTTTTAAAGGAGAGATGAAGTGTATAATACGCGCATGCTATTGAAGATCGCCAGATAAAAGGTACTGTCTCAAAGGCTTTGTGAGTCGTTCGTTGGTTGGTGCCCTCTCCGCAATAGCGACTAAACTCTAGTGCAAGTACACGAAGTTAATCCGACAGACTTACAACAACTCAAACCATGGCGCTAGTGCCAACATCAGTTGCGAGAGCATTCCGTTGCGGTTGATGAGAGGTGGTGATCCTGAAGATCTTGCGACAGCTGTCTAGCATCTATGCGTGACTTATCCGTTGATGCTGGCCCCTGGATTGTAAATGGTTCCGCCGATCCACAACCCACCGGCTTATACGTTTGCCTGCACCAACACTCGTTTTGACAGATATTATTTGCCGCAAAGTTTGTCCATATCCTTCAACACAATCGATCCGCTAATATCTTCTAAAAATGAATGCAAGCAGTGCATCTTGTTTGTAATATTACTGCTCACAACTCCGCAATGGCATCGAGAGACGGCCATGCAGGCAGGAGCAAGATTGTGAACTCCTCATGTGGTTCCGCAAAGTGTTCATTTACCTGTGTTTCCTCTGCAAGTGTGCGTTAAACCGTGAGGTCGTTACTGGGACGCGAATTGAATTTTCGGCAGGCATTCACCAACCGTATGGCCAGTAAAGAGTTCTCTTAGATGTTTATACCGTAATACGGTAATCACGTTCATGGTGAAGAGACAGTCGGGGCAGCTGCACACACTATTTAGCACACAATTGAAAGGTCGAAACTCCCTTCGAAATGCACGTTACGAATGTTACTTCAAATGTCCGACATTCTCTCTCCATGTGACATCCTCCATCATCGTTGGTATCGTTTTGGTGAAACGTAGCAACTCTACGCAAATTCATCAGTCAAAAACAAGTGGTTAGATATGGCCGCCAGGTGAGAAATAATGTTATGAGTTGTGGTCAACCAGCGTTGCATACAATCCCCCAACGCGTTACCACTAAAGCATTGTTACAGCAATAAACACAATATGTCCTCCAGGAAAAAACTATTCAATGAAAACAAGAAAGCAGAATGAAACAGACAACGGATTCCACGGTGCTATGTCCTATGGGGCTGCACGAAATCTAATATCTCTGTCGTGATGAATCAATAACGGACAGCACCTTACATTCCTCGACTCAGTCAAGTACAATACCATACGGCCATAGAGCTGTCTAGCCATAGTTGGTAACCTTCGCCGAGTTATCAACGTTGGGCTGGTCGGTTTATTTTTACGGTTAATACTACTCATCAGTATAATAAAATATGTGAGTATAGCTTCTAAGTCCTACGTGGTACATAGGCGCTATGCGGAAAGTCCTAGCTCGTGAGGCTAGCCATTGTCCTCTGCACAGTTCGTAACTGGCATGGCAGTGGAAGATGAGCCGGGCTATACCATAGTCAACTGTCAATCACGCAGATCCGCGGCTGTCACCCATGGCGAAGTGGCACTAGCTGCTGGCATCCTGAAGTCATGGGGACGGAACCCGGCAGGGGTCCGCTGGGAGGCGCACCACTGACGAGACCAAGAAGGTCGAAACGCCGGCGTCTGGTGCTTTTCCAGACTAGCCTAAGCCTGCTGATTGGGAGTGACAACGATGAATTAGTTGAACAATACTGTAAAAAGCTCTAACAATCAAGAAGTTCAAGTTGCCTGAGCGCATGACTTGAATAATATTTTGATGGATTAAAAAAGAGTGCTTATTGAAATCAGGTTCATCCACCTGGCTCGTCAGGGACATCTCGACACTTCCGTTCTGACGAATGCACATTTGAGTGAGCAACTGGGGATATGGTAATTGGGCTCTCCCTCCCCGTTAGAAGAATGAACATTACGTATGCACAAAATAAAAATCACAACATTCTAAACACTTCGCACCATCGGTTGACAAACTTTAGTCAGGTGATGGCTGTGGTGGACGACAATGTGGTCAACTGTGCCCTGAAACAGTTTTCATCAAGAATGGGTCAGGCGTCGCGAAGTGAACGCGTCTCATGGAAAGTTGAAGTAGTGGGGTAAGGAGTGTGCGGATTTGAAGCAGTTAAACAATAACAGCAATATGGTGTGATTGCTATGAACAGCATAGCCTGAATGAAATCATGACGTGGATAAAGGATTCATTTGAATGTGCATACTATCAACGAGAACCACAGTATTCGTGCATAGCGGACAGCAGAATCCAGTCTTGACGTTCTTTGGGGTATAATCGGCTAGCGTATAGGGAAGGGATGAGAAGACGCAGGGCGTTACCTGAATTTACAATCAAACTGTACATAACTAGCCGTTTGCTGAGTTCTAAGTGGGAGTACTGCCCTCAAAACGTGCACGCAGAGCCGGAAATATAAAGTAATTAGACAGAGATATGTTACAGCGTTTGCGGTCCACGTCTACTAAGCAGATACCGTACACACTGATCGCAACAGAGTGGGAAAGTGAGAAGACCCTACTGATTGGCAGGACAGGGAGGGAAAAGAACATGGAAGCAACCGTGTGGAACAAAACGCAGGCTTTGCAAGTGGCAACTTAGTACAAATGACAGTATGATTGACGGAAGAAAGTGTGATTTACAGCTGGTCTAAACTGAGGCAGAGAATTCCGTGAGATAGACGAGTTGTGACAGGAAGGAGATTGAATAAAAGACAGAAAGTTGCGCGGATCTCCCAACTGAAGAATCTAGATGTGGCTAGAAGCCAAACAAGCTTTGAGAACGTGAATAAGGAGTACTAGAGGAGTTCACCTTAGCTGATCGTGAGTAGCTTCGGTAGATGCACTTGTTGCACGGCGCATTTTCAACGAAAGTCTTAGATCTGCAGCTGGTAGAGAACTTTGCCGTAAATGTGCAGATCATACCAAAAACATAGGTAACCAAGGCCACTGATCCGTCAGTCTAAGCAGGCAAATATTCTTCATGAAATAGCTGGCGCTGAACAAAAATTGCCATCGAGTTCATCATGATTTCGAGGATAGAGAGGAGCAAACCTGAGCCCAATATCCAATAAGCCAGTACAAGTGAATCGGAAAATACAGGAAAAGTATGATACTGCATAACTGGATATACGATGACGGCACACGAGTATCGGAGGCATCCTATTTCTCCCACGTTCAGAGACAAAAAATGCAATTAATTTCCGTTCGTACTATAGAACACTGTCAAACTGCGAAATTGCAGAGAAAGATTTTCTGAGTTCACTGGGGATGGTGCCAAAGTCCAGAGCGAGATAAACAGGAGCGGGAAACCTCCATATGCGTGCTTCTAGGCTGGGTGGTCACACTTAAAGGTTATGCATAAACTTACCTTAGGAGTGGGGAAGAAAGTAACCCTTGCCCCAATGATGCACGTAAACGTGAAGAAACAAAGCACCGATTTACGCGTCAACAAACAGACAACCATACCATCAAAGTTGGCAATCCGATTGTAACACGACGGAGGAAGTCGGATATACTTAACTCTTAACAGGTGATGCAAGGTGGATTCAGGAAGCGAAATGGAGATTAGGGACTTCCTTTTTACAAAGGAGTAGTGGGAGGATTCGAATGGCATACCTAGAAAGTCAGCACACCTAGTTTCTGGGTGCCGAAATCACAACGCGACTGTTGCGATTCGGTGATTAAGACTACTGGGTTGCGGGGAACGTTAAGAACCGACGTGACTGTTACTAGATATGATATAGCACCTCACATCATCAAATGATTGCATGTTACTACCATGTAAAGGACAGGGTTGAACCCTCAGTAGATAGTGAGAGGCGTTATATGCAATCCAGCAATTTAGGCACATCAGTCGTTAGCGTCCCCCGTAGCTCAGTAGTCTTCATCACAGACTGGCAACAGTTGAGCTGCAGGTTCGCTCCCCACAAGGGTCAGATGGGATACGCACTGCTGAATATCCCCAAAAATGTGAAACGACCGTGCAGTGCCCTTGTAAGTATGTGATGGTTATCTGACTGAGTTTAGATGTGATGAATTTCTACTTACAATTCCTCTTCGACAAAACTGGAGAAAAGAGCGGAGGAAAAGAACCACATTGTTTCAAAAACGTAGCCTGAAAAATATAACAACCAAATGGTAAAACTCATGAAAGCAGCTGGAGTTCACAATGACAATTGCCGACAAACATGACATATGGCATGAATTCAATTCAGCGTAGAGTGGGAAGCTATCGGAGCGGCAAGGAGCGACCGGTCTTATTTCACAGGTAACAGATGGTATGGCAATAAAGATACCACATAGTCAAGCCAAAACAGAGAAGAAACCCGGCAGGAATGATTCCACCTACAGGGAGTTATCAGCACCCCTTGAAATTTCGCTGGCTTATAACTAAGTTGAAGAGACTGGCAACATAGAAACCGAACACACGTCTAAAGTTTACTGTGCTAAATTAGCGAACGGTGACAGTACACCGCTCATTTTACAGCTGCCGCTAATTGTGCCGTGTTAACGAGGAACAAACCGTGTAAGGGAAAAGCTACGTAAACTATGCGCCAGGTTGGTTCTTTTAACAGAGGGTAGATATATATAATCTTGTGTATATGCGATTGCAAGACTTACCGGACATGGGGTATGCAAAACGTTTTGGCTCTGCGTTGACTAGTAACACCTTGAGGTTCCTCCGGCCGACCCCTGTGACTCCCAGTAAAAGTAAGCATGGAATTGTGGATTGGGGCCACGGAACCACTTCCTCGTAACTCCAAAGGTCCGCACGAAGCCTTAAGGCTGTTGCAGGTATAATAAAAACAAGGGAAAGTCCGATCAGTTTTGGTAAAAAGGGATCACTTGATGTGCTCTAATGAATCGAATTCACGAAGTATAGAGAGATGTGGTTGAATATTGGACGACTCGATGGTCGGCAATGAAGGGGATGTGCACCTGGCTTGCATATACTTGAGTCTAATAAAAAAACTATAATCCCTGAAGAAGATTAGATAGGAAAAAGCGAAAGTTTAGACAAGCAGAATTCAAACAATTTTCGAAACATGCCAACGGATTTGTTTCGCGTGAACTGATAGTTAAACAAAAGAGGGGATTATGGGAATTACCGACGGGAAAGGGTGCTGTTGTGATGCAAGGTATACTAATATCATCAGCAAGAGTAATAAATGCACAAAAATTTCAGAATCCACCGTAACGGATAGACCGACAAGTGGAAAGATAAATGGTCAAATTTACGATGATGTCTAGTGCTGACAATGGTATAACATACATCTACTGTAAATGGGTTTCGAACTCGGGTTTGTCATGATCCCGAAACCCACAGCGGATCAAACCAGAGATACCGGATCACAGTGCAAATGTCACAACCATTCCAATTATGATAAAACTATGGTTATTTACGAATAGTCGTATGATTATCCGTCTATAGCGGAAGAAGGATGATATGGACCCAAGGAGTTGGCATATTCAGTAGGTGGGAATCAGTGGTTATAAGACTCTTGTTGTGATCATCAAAGCCACCGAAAGTTACAGCACGCAGATCCGCCGAGTGAGAGAATGCCCAAGACGCGAGCGGATCTAGATGGTAACTGCGATATCTGTGGTATAGAAACGAACAGCCATCACTGAATGATATAGAGAAACCAGAAGCGAATGTATACAATCTGTTAAGGATAGCCTTGAAGGGATAGATAGAGAATTAGGACAAAATGAGAGAAACTAGAAAACCTGGTTAATCTAAACGCGTGTAGGACGCATAGTCACTTGCAGACTTCGGACTACACAGCATATAAACGTGAACGATGAATTTGTCATGAGGACTGCCTGAGACAATCCCAAGAAAAAGAGCAGAACGCGAAGCACGGATAAGTAGCGCATCCTACAAATAATGCGTTTGTAGCGAACAAACTTTGATCGCAACCAAAGACATGCTCTGCTTTAGGAAAACTACCACAACAGCACTATGTCTACGTGTGTGGAGACAGGGTGCGTGAGCGTTCGCACGATGGTCATGGGGTAGATCGAGGCAAATGCAATAGAGGCCCGACCACACTATGATCGGGGAGGCAACGTAAAGATGTTGGTTAGTTCACCAAGCTGAGCAATTGGATTAGATAGTTTCGTCACCAATCGAGGTGACATTTTCAGTGCATAATGGTGTTAGTGGCTGTAAAAACAGCAGTAACCTTGAAAACAGATGCTGCGCTTCTCACCAATCAGGAATGAAAGGCAACGTGTGTTGGGACCACATTCACAATCCATGTCTGTGTTGGGCTTGTTGCGCAGGAGAAACTTATGCAGAAGGGTGTGAAGAGGGTAGAAATAGAAGGTAACACACTTAAGTGTAGGCTATGACAAGTACAAAGGAAACGGAGCATACACGGGTGGTATACAGCAGAAATGAAAACTCGGTAACAGTTGAAGCGGTGGTGAACCGACGTGCACAGAAGACAGACTGAATCCATTAGACAGGTTGCTGAGAATAAAGGAGAGGAGAGCGAGAATAGTTACTGAAGAGTAATAGTTGACATACCAGATGCGTCTGAAGCACGGAAGAACTTTTTGATTTTTCGTCTGGCTTTAAGTAAACTGGAGTCTACAAGTAAGGAGGGAGACATGTAGGATACGCCAGAAACGTAAACTAGCGATCAAAAGTAAAGGAGACAAAGCAAATAAAAAGTAGGACAATTAAAGCAGGTATATAATCTCACTAGGGGTCTTTTCTTCATTAAACGCCTTCCTACGCTCCTCCAGTGTCTGCGAAGGAATCAAGCGTGCCTTTCCGCGGGAATCGTTAAGTGGTCGAACCTAAAATAAGAGAATACAACGGACCCAATGATCAAAGTGACGCATCAGAAGGAAATAAGAGTAACTTGATGGAACAAAAATACGAGGTAATGAAGTTTAACGCCCAGTATGGCCAAAGTTAAAGCCACTCAGGTGAAGAATGATGAAAAAGTATTGACCAACTCCGCAGTCACAATAGTCATGAAAAGAGCAGTGGGGAACTAGCTGCTACTCAGCCAACATAGTAAGCTTCATTTGGCACCACTAAAGGTAGTACCGGATTCATGGTCTCGACTCAATAAAGTCACTACGCACTCGAGAGTAAAGTATGAAACGATAGCGAGAAATTGGATTGAGATACTCAAGAATGTCAGTAACATTGCATTGGGAGGACACAGCGTCGTACCAAAGTGATCACTAGTATCTGAAGCAGTATGTGATTAGTGCAAGAAGAGAGAGATAAAAAGCACCTATACGTCTGCTGCCGCCGTGGACATGGGAGGTGAGATGCCGCCATGGAGTAAAACCTAACCTGATGGGAGTACACTCGAGAGAGGCTGCAAACCAATGACAGACAACCACACGAAATATTAGTTTGAGACAGCACGCCTAAGGACACAGGAGTGTTGTCAAGCCTAAATGAGTGGCGGGTGGCTGAGTGAAATGAAGTAAGGGGCGCGTTCGCAAAAGTGGGTGACGAAATGCAGACGGAATGTGTCAATTATGAGGTCCAAAAACCCGTGACTGGGACTGAGAAAGATCGCGTACAGTAAGGCAAAATTGGCACATCAGTGAGAGAAAAAGAGACAAAATTTCGCATCTCAGTGGTCAAAAGTCCAGAGCAATAACACGGCTTGCTCTATTACAGTTTAAAGAGTGGGTTGGGGAACGAAAATTGATCATAAAGCCTAAAGTAGAATCAATCGTAAAATACTAGAAATCCACTATTGGTAAGAATGGGTTCTTGGGGTTAATCGATCGATAGCTCACTTGCCACCAATTCGGATCCTGGTCATCGATCAACTCGAGTACTTCGCCAGCTTTGAACGATAGACCGACGTCGCCAGTAGGCATGAGCGCATCTTTCTGAGCGTTGTAATCGAAGAAGGTTCGAATGTAACGCTAAAAGAAGGAATATACACGGACTACACGGTTATTGTTACAAAGAAGGTCTCCAGTGAACGGTAACTCGGTAACCGTGAAGAGGATGACAGTAAACGAAAGTAAGAGTCACTTCAAGTTGATGATATTCTAGGCGTAAGGAACAAGAAAGGAGCAAGACTCAGGACGTCAAACAAAGTTCAAACTTTCTGAATTTATTGCAATTCGGTGTCGCTGCAGCCATGAAAGTTCAACAGCCCGCATCACAACGTAAAAAGCGATCTTGGATCGGGTATCTACCAGCGGCGCGTCACTATAGTCGACTAGGTGACAATACTGAAACGTTGAGAATAGAGTGAAGTAAATGGATCCATCCAGCAGTCAAATATAAATGAATTCGGATCAGTCGATAAAGCAGCATTTAATAGGTGAAGCCAACGGTTACAGTCCGGTTGATGTGGTCAGAAAGACGAGAGGTTGTGATAGCTAAAACGGTCACATTTGAGAACCTCAACCAATCCAGGATGTAATTCATCATCTAGGGTATGATGAAGCGAGATACCTGAAGGTATTGGCCCAATATATTTAACATTAACAGTGTCAGTATAGGCAGAATGATGCACTTTAAGGTCAGCACAGATAACACAATGAAAACAGCGTTGAACGTTGATGAAAGGAAAGCCGGGACCAAGAGCGAGGTGTGAACATAAGAGTCACAGAAATCGGGAGTAATGTGTATGAAATTCGATGTTTGTTTGCGTACCTTTGAGTGGACTGTATCTTGTTTGTGCTGCAAGCCAGGCTTCAGGAAAGTGTCAACACTGAACGGTGCTTTCACCAGAATATCGAATTCCAAGGCACCAGATGCCTGCCGCATCAATTCGAGCACTTGGTCTTTAGACCGAACCGGACAACCATTGAATTCGAGAAGAATATCACCAGGAAAAAGTGTGCCTAAGGGACAGAGAGAAATGAAGTGGTGGTCAAGGAAATGAGGAAATCAACAACATGGATTAGCTACTCGGACGGCATAGAGGCACGCACAATATGGTCATTGAGAAATCAGCACAAGGAGGTGACTATTGACCGAAAAGCAGGAAAGGAGAAAGCTCGAAGATCAAACAGTTCAACTGCCGGAACAACAAGCCAGAGGAAGACCTAGGCGGGTGGGTTGATAAAATATTGTCAAGGTGAGTACTGAGGGAGTCACTTAACCTGTTGACACCGTATGTCGCAAAAGTACATGAAACCATTTCTTTCGCAAATGCAACTTACAATCCATATATTTTTCTCAGCTTCGGTGTTGGTATTTTCGGGACGTACACTTTATACTAGCAATATCCCAGATCAGCTCACTTTGCGGTTGATTTGCAATTACAACTACTTGAAATTAGCGAGTGTGAACGTGGGTTTGACGTGAATTTTGGCTCATAACTTCGAGGACTATTTTGAAGTTATGCTGTAACAAAAATGCAATTACCCGCCTATGGTTCACTGATACTGCTGATTTACCAGAATGCACCAAGTGGGATGGAAAATTTAGAAGTTATTACCAATACCTTTATTGGTGACTTTTTCGCTCTACATTGCGGCATATGAAAAACATCATGTTTAAGTTCATCGTTCTATAAATGGAATTCCAGTTCAGAGATTTCAAATTAATTTACAAGATTGTCGCAGTGCTTTAATTCGAAGTAAGAATGAAATCACTATTCTTTTATATAACTGTATAATAGAAAATTGGTCATAGATTCCACGTATTTGAAACGTCCTACACTGTATATAAAAGTAGAAAAATGAGCCCAACAACTTCCTATGGTAAACGAGTTGTCAGGTGTCAAACCACGATGAAACTTCAAACCAGGGTTCCACCAGATGAAAGTGATGATAGCAATATCAGTGATAGCGCTGATAGCGATAGAGACTAGATTTCAACACAGTAACGAGCAAAATATATTTCCAAGAAGCCATAAAAACGGGGATATAAGATCTTTTTTGCTTTGCGATACAAGAGGGCTTTTAGATTCATTTGATGTAATAGCAAAGAAAATTGATCCTGTTCTTGGAGAGTCTGACATTGGTGAAGTAAAAAATGTTCTACAACTTGCAAGAGTCATTTATCCCAATGTCAACATTATAATATATTGAGAACTTCCTTTCCTAATTGTATTTATTTGCTGCACTTGCGGAGAAGTGAATGCCAGCCCGTGGAACAGTACACCAAAGTCACTTACAAAGGTGCAGTTTCAGCGAAGACACTGACAGTCCGGCTGATTTGACAAGAGTGAGCATGACAGCAATGAAAAGAAACGACGAAAGATGGAGAATGATGGAGAAAACGTGAACATATGAAGCTTCAAAAGAAGATGAATAGAGTTTGACGAAGAAAGATACGGGCAAAGTAAGTACTCAAAGCATATAACCCCACTAGCCCCGTGAATGGGCAATACCAGCCAAGATTCAAGAAACATTTAGGAAGATGGGATGCAATAGTACGACCAAGTTTTGGCGCAAATTAATACATAAAATAATCTCCAGCTTTACGCCGTAACGGTGACTCGCTGCCACGCGACCGCCACCAGTCGCGCGACGGCTGAGTATACAGCGAGGACGCTCACCCCTACGAGGATTCGAACCGGTGACCATATGGTTGCAACCTAGGCACGCAGACCACTCATCCACCAGCCTCAGACTTCCATGCTACGTGATTGAGCACCCGTTCAAATGCTTCAGTAAATCATGTGCAACAATGGGAGACACCGCGTACCGAGAAAGTTGATGACTGTGGACGTAAAATCGTGATATAGCCAAAATGGGAGATGTGAGTTAACTAAACGTCCGCGTGCGGCCTCATAGTTTGTTACCTGGCACTTACAGATGAACGTGTACATATCGGGGCCCTAGGAGGACTCTTTGTGTTTGAGCATTGCCCCATGGGAACCAGTGCTTTCCGTCCGCGTCGCTGATCTCGCGTACAGGTTTAGAAAAGTAACACGAGCCCTTCCAAAATGCGGAGCAATTCCTTCGACGATTAAAGCAGTATGAGTTCCACATGCGCTTAGATGAGGGAAATGGCTGAGAACTTTGACGGGGGTTGGATGTCAACAGGAAAATATGATGTGCTTGCATGCTGAGGCAGCACAAACCAGTCTTGTGAGCGTACAAGTAATCGATGCAACAAAACACAGAGGCTGCTCAATAAAGGTATGTGACCAAACGACTGTGGTTTAGTGAGACGTAGATTAGCACATATATTTTCAAGTCACTGTTTTACAATATCGATTGAAAGAAGGATTTAACTTTTAGTGGTAACAAGATATGAGGGCAAAGTGGACATAATGTCAAAGTAAAACTTACCACATCTATCCGCCAACGATCCAACCATGACACGTTGAATGGCTAACACAGGAGAGTCGTTGGAAGACCTCTCCACCTCCGGTGGAGATGGAGTACGTAACGCGATGGTAATGCCCACTTCCTCACCCGGGTGATCTCTGCGCAATCGCACTCGCCGAACTTCGCCAGGCTTTGGATGATTCATGGATGATTTGACAGGTGAACGTGTCGAACGGTGTGATGAAGGCCGCGAAGAATGGCGAGGTAAGCTGTCAACCATAACGGCTCCCAGAGTACCGTCTTTGTTGACTTTATGTGAGGATGACTTCTGTTTCATTCGATGGGGCAAGCTTTCTGACTGATAAGCTGAGGACGTGTCCGGATCGGAGAGAATGGTTTTACTGGAATGCTGCGTGTATTTTTTTGAAAGCACTGAGGAGGGGACGCGACTGGTTGCTGTTGGAGATTCGACTAAAGGGCTTGGACAAGATATTTTGGCCTGAGACGTTATTCGGCGAGAACCAGGGGAACAGGCGGAACCGGAAAGAGGTCTTGCATCGCCCAGGTGACGGGGATGAGATACAGGAGATAAGATTGTAGAAGACTCCGAATGATTGTTGAGCAGTATCTTATCTTCTTTGTTCGGAGGATTGCATAATGTATTGGATACATCGGCGGCAAACTCTGAATGGTCTCGGTTTAATGGACGCGGCTATGTTGGCAATCAAAAGTAATAACAAGGAAGCCAGATAATATTTGTGTATTATGTTCGTCTTAGAGAATGACTTCATGAAGGGATGCATGGCTGTTGTAGAGCGACAGGAAGTATGCGTGAGCTAATGGGAAAAGGTTAAAGGATTGATGAACAGTCCAATTTTACCTCATTGGGGTATGCGAATAAGTTGTACAAGGAAAAGAAATAATGGGATAACCCAGCGATAAAACGAGGCCACATGAAAATAGAAGGGCTCAAATAATCCAGAAAAGAGTCTAGAAATGCACGGTGTTCAACAGCCACGGCACAGTAGGAAATAGGATTAAAGTGGCCTCTCAGAGTTGAGAGCTGAGGGGTTTTGGGTAGTGAGATACACTAAGAGATCACTGACCCGTTGTCGCTCTAGCAGTGCAATAGACCAAATTCTATGGAGCCTAGCGTTCGTAAAATAAGTCAGAGCAGTCGCGATGGTTGACGGGCTCATGATGCGTTACCTGCCGCACTTTAGGAGCACATCGTATCGAGGAGGGTACAGGTCGACGACCATCTAACTGACTGGTATCCCTCTACAAGTGGCGTGCCTCAAGGCACTGTGCTAGGGCCCACACTGTTCCTGATTTACACCATCTACCTCAGCTTTTCCGGTTGCCGTGTGCCTTGTTTGCGGATGACTTGAAGATTTGGAGAGAAATTGATGCTCCAGATGACTGTGGCGTACTTCAGCAAGACCTCAACCGCCTATCCACATGGTCTGCAGAAGTTCATCTCCCGGTCAACCCAGCAAAATCTGTATTTATGAGGCTGGGGAAGGGTGCTGACGGCCGAAACTACACCTTTGACGGCCAACCGCTTTGATGATAAATCACTGCGTTTGCTTTCTACCAGCTCCTGCTATCAATCCTGCAATGAATATGTCATCTCGAATGGTGGCGAGACGTTTGCAAACAAGTTGTCCAGCTCAGAGAACACAACAACAACTGAGCCAATCGCTATATCCAACACCCTCCGTGAAGGAGCTAGGTGTACTCTCGCGCTATGCGCGTGGACAACACGAACAGGCTACATCGTAACGGACTGCGCATGATTGGGCACTCAAACGTAGCCTCGGTACATGATCTGAAGAGGTTATCACTCGCCTCTTCTCTTCCATCATTAGACCAATGCTAGAGTACGGTTTGCTCGCCTACTTTCCGATTACCCGAGGCGAGGCATAAAAGATCAAACGGGTCCAACACGTTGCTACCAGGCTCATCCCCAGTTTACGTGGCTTGGGTATGAAGACCACTGCGAAAATCTAGGACTCTACACCTTGTCCTACCGTCGGGTGCGAGTCGACCTCATTATGACCTACCGTATTCTACATCTCGGTGACTTCCCCATGCTGAGGCTAATGCTGCACTTATCAGAACCATGCAGCACACGCTGACACAGACACAAACTTGTCGTGCCGGATGTAAAACAAGTTCTCCACCCACTGTGCTTCGAACGGAGAGTGGTAAATAGTTGGAATATGTGATTGTGGTAACATCTGTGCAGCAGTTCAAAACGTTGTTAGATTTATATTTTACAACTATTCGATTCAGAGAACGATTGCACATTTACGAGGACATCTCACATTGGTGAGCCCGAAATACCGTGAGTCAGATATTTTATAGGTTACATGAGAACGATAACGATATTCAAGGCTGACAATGCGTACAACGTTTTTTGCCATACCTCGAAAGAGTTGTACATAAGTCACTTCTACTGGCTCTATAATATAGTATTCAGTATACACAGCAAGTCTATTGTTCGTGAAATAAGCCAGAGCAACCGCATTGGTTGACGAGCTCATGATGCGTTTCATGCCGCACTTTAGGAGCATACCGTATCGAGGGTACAGGTCGAGGACCATGTAACTGACTGGTATCCCTCTACAATTGGCGTGCCTCAAGGCACTGTGCTGGAGCCCACTCTGTTCCTGATCCACATCGACCATCTATCTTAGTTTCTCTTCATTTCTACTGGCTCTACAATAAAGTACTCAGTATACACAATTAGGATAGGCCTATCGCCAACTCACGTATTGTTATGGTTTCGGCTGACCTACCGATGACCTGCTGCTAGCGTGCACTCTGATCAGCCCGACTTCCCAAAGCAGGAGACCGGCGTACGGCTGGCACGTATGTTTGCTTAACGTCCAACTAACGGTACATTCAATTTATGGCCAAATCAATAGCCCTCAGCGTAAAACGCTCTCATTGGCTGGTTCCGTCCCATTACGTATCCGAACGCGAAAGCTCCAACCAGTTAAAAGTAGTGATTAATACCAAAATGTGTTCAATACGGCACACGGTGCGAACTGCTACTGCCGAACTCAGGTACCTCCATGGGTAGGATCACCAGGACTGGAGGATGCAGTGTGTTACCGAGACAACAAGGACCTGAAGAAATTTCCACAAGCATTTCCCACTAATTTGGATCATTTGTAGTAGTAAGCTGGCTGTAAGTGGCTTTACATTTGATCAGCGATGATCCCAATCGTTATCATAAATGCTCGTGCCAAATGAACTGGGCACCAGCGCCCCCGAATTTTCTTTCAGACATCGTCTATCACCAAGCACCTCATGGCAACCCCACATCAGATGAATCCTGAGACCGCGGTCAAAGTGTTATTATACAACAAAAACCCGATGTTAGCAATTAGTGACGCGATGGGAATTAAGGCCCAACAACTTGCGCTATGTACGCAGAAACTCTTGGGGCAACCAATTCGGTTGCCTTGGTCTTTACTGTGACATTTTCATTGGTGTTGCTTGTTTTCCATGCATATAATCGTTTGTATGTTTCTAACCGTATTGTGTTTGTGACTGAAGAGAACAATCGAAAGGTGGACATATCACAACCTATGTCTTCTCTCTAACTCACAGTGCTCTTAGGTGTGTGCACGCCTAACGGCTACCTTAGGCTGTGGCCCCCTATGAAGATCACCTTCTGGAGCGTCAAAAAACCACTGGATTAGGAAAACTCTTCTGACTCTTTCAAATATGAAGGCCAATCCCACGTCCATGAATAAATTTATCGTCTCCAGAAAATTCAGACCACCTGAATCACTTTGCCCGTTTAGTAAATATAAAACATGATACACATCGTTAAAAATGACGGAACAGTATGGAACTAATAAAAATGGACTGATTGAATCTGCGTTGTGTCCAAAGTACCCACAGGAAAAGTCAATCAGTTGTGAGAACAGCATATTCCTAAAGAATAAACCAGGTGTACGCAAAAATACGCAGAAGTCACCACAGCGCTGTACGCGTTTATTTCGGGCAGATACGAGGATACACATTGTCACTTTTCAACTTCGCTACTAACAAAGTTATGGAAACTGCATCCACCAGACCCAACTTGGAAGGTGTCGAGATGTTCCCAGATGGTCAACTTCTCAATATGGAGTGTGTTGACGGTACCACCCTAATCTCAGACAACGCATAAGCCTGTGAAGTAGTGCTGGACAGACCAATACTGACAAGCAATCGTTTCGGAATGCCTTTCAAGGATTGGCAGTGACCAACACATAAGCGCAGCACTCTGTTAGAAATAAGCTATAAGCTGTTAGGGAATCCAACAAACCTTACTGGCCGGACCAGTGGCTATGTAATATAACATGAGGTTAAACACTATCAAGCGCTTGCTGCTTACAATATTCCACATTCTTTCGTGCATTCGACTGAACAAACTGGGTGTAGCGATCAACAATTATCCCTGGAGCCCAAGTACGCTACAACGCTTCCTCGCTGAGGTATGCAGTTTGGAAATTCGGTGTTCAAGACCCAAGAAGTTTCGTTGCAAGCGCCCACACGTTAGCTCGTCCGTGTGTAAACCGAATATTGCTGGCAAGTAACTGACTAGCCATTAACATGCTGATGTTGATACCACATGTTCTGTTCAACATATTAGTCACGAGAGTGAGTGTAGCTATATTTCCCGCTGTTCATTCGTCATATTGAACTTAGGTGTGCTTAGGAAAAGACAGTTATTATCCAGATAAGCGGCGGAAGGGTAAAGGGATCCCCTAAAATTTGAATTAGAAATGCCCAATCATCTGGACTGAATTAGAAGTAGGTTAGTCCAACTGTGGTGGTACGGTAATGATTAAGTAAATATTGCTTGGAAAAATAAATCCAAGCACAGAAACAACTGATTTGTAGCGAAGAATAGCTGCAATCGAGATGTATGATGAGAGACGATTAATAAAATGTAAGCGGCAAAATGACGATGGGAATCGCAGGCTGCATACCATAAGTTCAGCTAACCGCCTCATCTGTGCCATATGCCGAGGCTGTTGATACCCATTATCTCTCTAACACCCAGGCGAATAACTATGCAATGCTCAATGTTTTCATTGCAAATCGCACCATGGATATGGAGATTTTTTCGACATAATCTAAGTGGTCCCATTCCAACCCGCGCTGTTAGATACGTTCGTGCCCATACTGTGTAATATGCCTAGGTGTCCAACCTCATACCCACTTGAGATATTCTCTATACACAGGGGGTCATCCCCCGTGTTAGTCCTTTCATTCCACATTGGCCTGGAGACACACTATACCCACCATCCTGTGCGTTGTGAAGCGAACCAATGGTGTAAGGTTGTTGAACCCATCGTAAGAGCTGATTTGCCTTACTTTTGCGCATTGCAAAGACCCGGTTGTACTGGGACTGAGGTATGTACATAGTGCAGCTGAGTTGTATTTTGTTTACTGGTACCTTAGTTAACGTCTCGGCTTCCTTTCTTGATTGAACCACGGTGATTTTACGTGTCACTTGAGCCTCACAACGAGTCTGTCGTTTACATAAATAGCTTATCGCCAAAGTCGAGTACACAGCCATATCTGCCAACAGTTTGGTAATTAGATTCAATATCTTGGAACATATTTGGAACCGATCGGGAAGTCATCATTTCAGAAAAATGGTAGACGACGGGTTAAGGTATTTATCGTGATATACAACGTTTC